TACCTACAAAATAATCTTGAGGATACTTTTTGATGGATAAGACAAAACATTTTTTATATTAGCTTTATTTATATTTCTGAAAAGTAACACAGATCTGATTATATTCTTATTTTTTTATATTAAGTAGTTATGGCATAACACAAATGTAATAGATCGGTTTATTAATAGCTTCCCTAAGAGGACTGACCGACAAACTGACACTTTTTATCTTTATGCTTTGTTCGACGTTCAAAAGTGCCCCGGGTCTAATTGGAATAAGTGATTTTTACTATGACTTTTTGATTATTAAAAATACCTACCTATTATTTGATACTGCAACAAAAATAAAATAAAATAAATGTTGTTTAAAAATACAAAAGCTTCTGGCGTAAAGCAAAAAACTTAAGTGCCTTTTAGCGCAATCATTTAAGATAAACACACGAATAAGGAAAACACATTTCTGAAAACATATGCCTATAACAATATACTCTAGTCATATCACGTTTGTCCGTCACAGATGAAACTAAGAGATTTGGTGGACAGCCAATTTAAAAGTAAATAATATGAATTTATTTACCGACTAGATACTAGCTTGCCGCCTGGGGTTTGTCCCTGACGAATTTGAAAAGAATTCTCTAGAAAACATCCATATTAGACTGCTCGGACCTGGCCTACAGGGAACTTCTTATAGATATTATTATTGATGAAGATAGTTTTAGTAAAGTACGGGGAATATACCTTCCTTTTTTCTACAAATCTAGGCGTTGTTTGAAGTTTCGAGTCTGATATATAGCCTTGGATGCTTGTACCTAAATATACCTATAACACAGCAGAGTATCTTAATGTTTGTCAAAATGTATAACAAAGCGAAAAAAAGAAAATTTCTCCCGCAAAACAAAAAAGGTTAAAGACCCTGAAGACGAGAGACAGAAAGATTTACATGCATAATGCATGTAATTCCACGAAAAATAAGCTATATGTCCAAAAAATTTGTCAATTTCGTGCAGTAGTTTCGGAGCTTATGCACACAAACGATAAAATATTTTTCTTTTTTCAAAATATGTATTAGTAAACATGTAGGTACTACAAGATCAGTGCAAAGAGCACTGCCTACTTATTTCCTGTTCAGATGTAGTCTCACAAGGACTTTCTAGATATACCTACTTAAAAATTAATGTACCTTACGGTGCACACACTTTAAGAGCTACCTGTCGACCTTCTTCATAAAGAAGAAGCATCGCAATTTTTTTTTTTGTGAAAACTTTCTTCGAATATTTTTGCTTTTTTGATGAACTTTTTTTTTGTTTTTCTCTGCAATCTATGTTATATAATAGTATTGAAGAAACTGATATTAGAAATAAAAATTACCTACTTATAATTGTATTCACCTATGGTATGGTACGATTAGTAACTTTTTAGTGGTAGTACTAGGTACCCGTGCTAGATACTGTCAATTCAAGTCTTCAGTCCAAGAAAATCGGACCAAAGTATTAAATCGGACCAAAGTATTAAATCGAATCAAAATTATTTAGATTGATATTGTTCTTGAAAAAAATGCAATGTATCGATTTTCAAGTTTAATATGCAAATAATTATAATAACAAAAGAAAATCTTTTTGTAAAAATATGCAAATTCGTTGCTACACTACAAAATTAGGTGAAACATAAATGGAATTTCAATTTTGAATTGTATTACGCGATTTTTATGTGCAAATTAGAATAACATTAACACATGACAATTCTTAGAAATTATTGATAAGTGACGTCACATAACATCCGCCTATGAAATAGAAAAAAGCAATAAAATAATTTTAAGCATGATTATACCAGTCAATAAGAATTAGTTTTTTATTATCTGTACCTATGATTCAGTATGACGCAGTCTTTACAACTTTCCTTCTGTTCTTTTTGTTGAGGTTTTCCCAATGTTTCACTCTGTATTAATCATTATTTATATGTATAAGTCAATACGATAAGAAGTGTGTATACAGGCAAGCACCTTAAGCTACCCTTATCGTTATTTCTTAATAGATTTTAGACTTTATCTAACTCCAATAGAGTTGAAAACTTATTAAAGAAGACAACACTAACAGCGACCGATAACTATTGATATAATATGTACATATTTAGAGCAGATTTTTCAATGGTTAGATAAAAGTTACTTGGGGAGTAATATGATGCTGTCGCGTCGGAAAGTTTGTATAAGACAGTGACAGCAACAGTTTTATCCCATAGATAACATTTATCTGACTATTGAAAAATCAGCCCTAATTGTATTTACCAACACCTTTTAGTTTCACATAAGGGATCTTATTAAAATAACAAGAAGGCTGCTATGCAGTCTTCGATGTTGCAGTTCCGGCGCAGATTGCTTACCATCAGGTCATGCTCGGGTGCCGCCCTATCACATGACAAAAGATGACAAATTAGACAAAACCAGAGTTTTCTTTCGAGAGCCGAAAATGATTTTTCTGGTCCCGAGTAGGGCAACAGGGTATGTTAGATTCTATCATCCATGCCGCGTTGCACTTACATTATATGCGATTTGCTGGATTTGACGATGATGTTAAAAAAAGTGTCAGTCGGGATAGCAAAATCTTTAGCTAGTCTTTACCTAAGGCTAGCAAGGCTAGAGTGAATAGGCTCTTAATAAACTAGTGCGCCTTACCATCAATGATTGCATCACTGCTTACCATTAGGTGGGATCGCAGTCAAGCACTAGTTTATTGCAAGTAAAAAAAAATTGAACGAATTTTTTGATTTGAAATGCAATGTAAATGTAACACTAATCAATAAACAAATGACTACTTTTGAAAAAAGAATCCCGTGGTTTTAAAACAAAATTAATTAGCCTTAGCCTAACAAAAACTATTTTGATTTGAAATGGCCAGTACTGCAGAACGACAATTTCATAGGTAAAGACCTATTATAATAAACACTTCTAAATGACTGTTCATTGATAATGGCATAAAATTGTGAAAGGAAACGTTTTATCGATTAATAAATAATAGCAGTACCTAAGCAGATAATAGAACTAGCAATAACGTTTATCAGTTACCTACTAGCTTGAATTATAGATGAAACGAAATCGATTATAATATTGAATATTTTATTATTATAAATTGATTGTGATCTTGATTGATGAAATTATGACACAAGTAAGTATCTACCTTCGTAAACTAATTCGTTTTTGAAAACACGGAACTTTATGTTTATTGTGGGGCAAAAAAAAAAGAATTGACTGTGTCGTACAAGTGTAGATATTTTTTATATAAAAACACGATAAAGCTAAATCCGTATTTCCCATATCGTTGAGTCTGCACGTCACAAAATTTGTTCTGTAGTTGCATAGACCGCAGTTTATTTTCTTACTAGCGACTTGCCCCCGCCTCGCTCGGGTACAATGACCTTATTCAATTCATTTGCTATTTAATGGATAATCTTCCTCTTCATTCAGTTTATCTATAAAAAAAAAACCGCATCAAAATTCGTTGCGTGGTTATGAAGATTTAAGTATCATACCTACTTAGGGATATAAGAACAGGTTTTATCACTACATAGGTATGTGTAAAATTCGCATTATTTATTAATAGGTATACATTAGGTCGCATTATTTATTAATAGCTAGTTACATATGGTAATGAGATCCTAGAAACGAAAAAGTGAATTCCCCAAAGAAGAAGGAACAGTTCTTTTTCTATCTCTTATCTGAAGATGCTAGGTCATGCTAGGTTCACATTATGACTGTATTTCCCACTAGCTTCCGCCAGCGGCTTTGCCCGCGTGGTATGTTGATAAAAAGAAGCCTATGTCCTATTCCGGAGTGTATCCTATGGCTGTGCCAAGTTTCATCTAGATCCGTCCGACCGTTTTGGCATGATTGAGTAACAAACATCCAAACATCGTAACTTTCGCATTTATAAGTAATATATAAAGTTCTAGCCAACGAAAAAAGAACCTCATAAGTCTTTGTATGTTGCGGAAATCGCACTGAAACGATGTCTAGGCATGTGTAAGCTAAGCAGACGCACCTGTGCTTATAATTGGCAGAATGGTTGCACAGACGCAAAGCTGCTCACCCTGATCTGTCGGATAGACTTTATAGTAACACGGTTACTTCACACATCCCTGATAGTATTGGATTATTTGCCATATTGATATTCAATACCAAATGAGGCGATATAATATAAATAAAAAAATAAATAAAAACGGTATAACCAAAAACAGGAACTTAAATTTTGCAGAGCACTACGAATGACAAAAATCAGGTGTTTCTAAAAATCCAATAAATCAGGATTCTACAACGTAATTTATAATGCCTACCTTAAAATATAAGCTTCTTAAAAATGCCGTATCTTTTGAGTGAGTTTTTAGTCCATTTAAAAATAATTGCACATCTAGAAAAGTTGCTAAATTGGTTTAGTTTTGCCTGAACACATTTCTTCTTCGTAATTGGACTGGTAGTGCGACTTATTCAAGTTGGCAAAAAATGTATCAACCGGTCGCTTACTCGCTCGCGGGAGTACAATAACGACAGAAGATTAACACAATAATAAAATAGAAAAACATTAAGTCTGCTGATAAAACACTGCCTGACTGGTTTGCAGATGTGCCCAAATTCGGCAAGGAGCCTCAGGTATTTTACTTCACCTGTTTTTACCGTTATAATGCATCGGCGTCCCTCTAAAATATATGGCAACCTAAAAGCCCACATTTATTTTGATAACTTTCTCATACATAAAGTACAATGTGGCTGAAGAGGATCAATGGTATTTATGTTCCGTTTTATTACAAGACAAAACGAAGTAAGGCTTCATATACGTAGGTACGTCCCACTGGTTTCAATTTCACGCCAACATTTATGCAGGACAGCGCTGTTTTTATTTGAAGCGAAGCGAAATACATAAATACATTTTTTTAAAATACCTCATCAAGTTATCTTATCTAGCGAATCGATGTTATTATCAAATTCAAATCTGTAATAAGTAAAATTGTCGTATAATTATACTTTATCTGATAATGGCCGATAGAACAGCCGGGGTCTTCAGTCTATAATTGAATTTGGAAGTGTAAAGTGATTAAAATGGCTGAAAAGGTAAAAAGGCCGCCGTTTTTTACTCTAAAGCGTTGGCAGAGCGCTAAAGAGAATGGGCTGAAGACTCCCATGACGCCCACAAGTTCACAGCCTCAGGACAGCCCACCACAGTTCAGATCAAATACGCCATCCGTATCGAGGAAAGTCAATTTTGACCTAAAGCCTAGAAAGTGAGTACTACTTATATCGCAGACATTAATTACATTGATCGATCTTATTACGTCTTGTTTTAGTCGACAATTTGGCTAAGAATGTCGTTGCCGTATGCTCAATAAGTAGGTAACTGAATTAGACTTCTACGCGAGTGTCCATTTTGCAAATCGAAAGGTTGAACCAAACGCTAAATCTGATGCAATAATCTGACCGAAAAAAACTAAATCTGCAAACAACAGTTCCACTGTAAATTATCTTATTCACTCTCTAAAGCCAAAGACGAGTCCATAAAAATAATACGTCCAATCGTTTCATTTACCCTTGAATCCATGTTTATCGTGCGAAATAATGCAATCCAATCATCACAAACAGGTTATCTGCTGGCGGTATCTCTGAGTTGATACAATGCGCACTGTGCCTCGAAGTACTGCACAATCCAAAGATGTTACCGTGTCAACACACTTTCTGTACGGCCTGCCTGTCTGTCTACATCGCTGGTTTGTAACTAATTGCAGTAATTGCTTACCATATTGGCAATGCCCATATACATGTGACAGGTGGTAATTGTTTTTGTTTACAGATTTAGTAATATTCGAGTGCCCATTGTGCCGGACAAGAGTTCAAGTGCTTGGACCCAATTTTGTGGAGAACCTACCGTCGAATCTGTACATTGATTCATTGCTACAACTGGTGGGCATTAACACTAATGGGGTAACAAAGAATTTGGAAACCCCCCCGCCTACACCATCAGTTACAAATAACGCACAAAACAACGAGTTCTTCAATCCAGGAACGAGATGCGTTCATTGTAAAAGCATTTGCGAAAACTTTGATATCACACAATGCGATCACTGCAAACTGGTAAGGGGAAACATGTTTGTTTTTATACTTTTTGCGTGTTTTCATAATATTTATTGACGTACACTACTTTTTTTAGAAATTCTGCCGCATATGTTGGACACAGCATTTGGAAGATATGCGGATCCAACTAAAATCTATTGTGAAACAACTGGACACGGCTGCCAGTCATCTTGAGCATAAAATTGAACATTATAAGGTACGTGACCGGAATATGATGTTGGGAAAACATCCTTTGTCGAGATTTGCGGAATGAGGATAATGCAAGAACAAATTCTTCGTTCAATGTGTGTGGTTGTGACTAAAAGCGACAAATGAACACATACAAATATAATGGAGTTATCTCTAATTATATAGATAAGTGAATTTTATCGAGCTCTGCCCATTATTGTTTACATGTAATAAAATGAAAAGTTTTTTAAGTATATAAATTATCTTTTGTAATTAAAGTTGGCATTGACTGAATTCATTGTTAGTAAAAATCGACTAGATCTGTGTATGGCATTATTAGGACAGACTTTGATTTCATGGTTGTATCAGCAGCGGCGGGATGATATGACTGCTGAGCAACCTGTAGCCTGTTAGAATCCCACATTGAACAGTTCTTGGTTGAACCACGACGTTTTGTCCTGAGTCTTGAGTGTAATGTGTGTGCGAAAATATATACCTAATTATGTATTTATAAATAAATCCATATCAACTTAAAATATGTAAAACTCGCCAAAATACAAACTTTAGACGGCGTTTTTTTTTTAAAGTGCACGTACGTCCTTTCATGTTCGGGAACGGAGTAGAAAAATATTATTATACTGAATCTATGTTTGTCTCAGCCTTGTCAGTCACTATATGTAGTTAAGACATCATCACATCTCATAGCCACAAAACATGGTAAACCACATTATGGAGTTTCTTGCTCGTTCTTCTTCATTCGAATCTACAATTTAGAACGAGCACCTAGCTTCACTGACGAACAGACTGGCAGACTGCTATTCTACTTTGACGTTTCCAAATTACGTATTTATCATTTAGCTGGAATAAATGATTTTGACTTTGACATTCATTGCTTTATAAGGTCATTTATCGATATTTTCAATTCCTTCTCGTAGAGAATAAGTTTGTAAATATGGACATTAACTAGTATACTCTACATAATCATTAAATTTTAAACTTCAGGACCGCTGTGATCGAATTGCCGAACAAATAAAGATAGCTGCAGATGAGAAAATAGCGGCAATTTTCGAAGAGAAAGATAAAATGTTGATGGAAGCGGCAAATATGCAGAAGTCATCGGAGATGTCCGCCTTAGCTCTGCAGGCTTCGTTGGCAGAGGCGAAGTCTGTAGCAAATAGAGCTATGGACTCCTGTGTTTCTGACAACGAGAATGATCGGGTAAGTGAGTGTTTTGTATTTTTGAGTGGAACTATGACATTACCTACCAAAAAAGGCGATACAAGAATTTTTGACCCGAGTCTGGGTGACTGTGAATATCAGTGAATGGCAATATCTTATTGGAGAAAAAACTTACAAATTTAAGAATACAAATCTTGTAAAAAAGCGCGAAATAATCACTCAAATGTACGTAGTTACGGACATAAAAAACCAAAAGTATAATATCGATGATTGAATTTCCTTTAAATTATATTATTAAAGCTTATCTTCCTAATTAAATCACGTCAAATAAATGATTTCATTTCTGTGATTGTAAGGTATTGCGAAAAATATTTTGATAAAAAATATTATCTGTATTTTACGTAAACTTTTTAGTACTAGGTAAATATATCACTAGGGATTCGAGGAGTTTGGGGAGAAATTTAAAGAACACAATTACGTCATACTTTACCCTAATCGGATTAAGGTCTTAATTGACTTGGTTAATTCATCATCATCGTAAAATAAATCATCGTCATGATCACTGAATCAAAATTATTCCTCACTGTTCTAAGTTCGTGATGTAATGATGTCAGTCAATACTGGGCAATGGTCTGTGCTCTGTTCTTATACGGGTAACGAACATTAAACATCAATCAATAATCACCATATATACACATGGTGAATTACTGACTTTAAATTTGTTAATAAATCAGTCAAGCCCCTTCTTTCTGAGAGCAAAATCATCAATTGACTTCTCCCGCCCTGGGTGGGGAGGAGAGACCTTAGATTTTACTGACTTAAACCCCCCGTTTCTTTTCCTGCTTTAGGCCGAAGCCGCGCTGCCTTATTGAGCTTGCCCCGCAACACAAGCTGTCCCTTCCCCCTTTGTTGATTTTTTTGTCAGGGGAAAATCATCGAATGACTTCTCCTGCGCAGGGTAAGGCGAGATAGAGTGTCAGACTCTTACTGACTAAAAACCCCCCGTTCCTTCTCCTGCTCTGGGCCGAGGTCGCGGTGCCTTATTGTGCTTACCCCCCAAACCCCGACGAAACATCATATTGAATCGCTAATATATAAAGTGGAAGAGTCATGATGTCAGCTTGACATACCTACATAAGTTTTGGCATCATTTATCGAATGTCATTGTCAAACCAATACCACCAATTTTCTTGATTTCAGACACCTATTACTAGTCTAGGGTTTGTTTACGATCATTTCTTTGATCATCTGTGAACAGTGTTTTAATAACGTGTACTTAATACCATAACACTTTATGTAGATTCTTTAAGTAGATATTGAAATAAAATTTTGCACAAATAATTGCTAGTGCCAAAATGACCCACGACTACTAAAATTTACTTTATTTATGACCAAACATTAATTTCAAAATACTTGGTGTGTTTTTGTAGGTAATGTATTTTAATGCGGCCTAGATTTCAATTACTAGTTTTGATGTTATCGCTTTAGTTTTATCACGGTTTTTTTACTTATAGCCTCGGTTTGTCGTCAATGATGGAAGGTGGTCAGTTTGGATAAGTATCAATCTAGGTACATTTTTTAAAGTCATATATTTTAGCAACTCATTCTGAATTTTTAAAAAATAGTTTTAATATTTGACTGACATTAATGCGTATAATTGGCAACGTTAACAATTTTTGGTCAAAAACTAAAATTAATCATTAGTTTTATCAGGATCCGCCTACTACTGAAAATAGACCTAACTAATTTTTTTAAGTTTTCTTGTTCATCGCTTTTACACTTAAGTCAGTGAAATTTTGCCTGCAGTTAAGGTCACAATATACCTTATTGATAATTTTGCTACATTTTTTATCCACAGGTAAAAACCTTTATAAACCTCCATCAGAATGCAGTGACCTTACTATCAGAGGTCTCGAAATGGGATACGGAACGCGTCGTCTTCGACAAAGAGAACTTCTCTCTGGAAAAGGACTCTGGTACTCCAATAGACTCAGAGTCTGAAGACCCCGTAGTTGATGGTCCGAAGCAAAATAATCCTTTGGAGAGTGAAGAAAGTCTCATTATGCATTACAGGTGAGAGATAGGTTTTTAATCATTTTAATCTTGGTGTAGATGTCCAGTAGATATACTGAGATGATGTCTAGTAGATATATTCTTCAGTAACATGTGTAGACCTGTTTTTTGTTTTAACGAAAAGGTTAAGCTACTTTTTTATGTAGGTATCATGTACGTACGTGTATTTAAAATTTTGCAATCATGAAAACAAATTTTGGGTTTATTTTTTTAAATATGTAATTGAGGATAAAAGTTTTAGAGCTATTCAAAATGTTGGTTTGCAATTTAGGGGAGCCGTCTTCGCGCTGTCTAGATGGCGTTTCAAGCGAATAAGAAGATTTTGTTAAGATGATGCCTCTGTCACTGTATTTTTAAGTTGGTATTTATTTATAGACTCAACTCTTCACTAGCGCTTCTTTATCGCATTAACATGTATCTATAAAATTTAAACTTTTCTTTTCACGTGTTAATAAAATCTTGTAAGTCTTCAATGATATTTTAATGTATTAGGATCTGAACGTTTATGAATTATTTTCAAGATTTAAAGAGCTTTGTTTCGTTTGAACTTGTCAGTAAGGAGTAAAGAATGTATTGAATTGCCTTAAGGTTCTTGAATGGGAACCTTAATGGATGCAAAGCTGTTTAATAGTCGAAGTGCGTGTGTTTAGCTTGAGTGTTCCACGTCTATCAACCGTCCCTTACTTGAATTAAACAGTAATAGTCATCTTTGCGATATAAAAGTACCCATTCAATGGGTGGTCTTAGGTAAAGAACATATGGGAATGGTAGAGTGTATTATTAGGTAATCTAAAATTAGCTTTTGGTCTGTCAAGATCGTGATTTTAATGGCTCTTATAAAAAAAAAGTTGACAATAATATATTGCATTTATAAGATTTAGTACCTAATTGACGTACGCGTTGACAGGTGACAATTTGGGTAGCTACTTAACAACTTGTCAAATTCAATACCCACTTTTTTCGAATTGCTAAAATTGGCAGTTTCGGATTTTTGTAAGTACGGACTTGTGCGTAGTGACGTCATTTAGTTTGTGCGTTAGTCTACTTATTTCTTAAAAAAATGGTAGAGAAATACAAAGATATTAAATTTTCGCTAAGACAAGTAGATTTTTCATTTCCCAAATATTTTATCTAGAATCACGAAGTACCTAAGTATAAGTACCTAATTTTTCTATAAAATACCTAACAACTTTTAGATAATATTTACTTTACTTTTGATTCGTTATCTTAACTTAAATTAATTACCTAGAAAATCAAGAAACCATAGATTACCAATCCATTAATTGATTAATTTTGCAGTGTATGATTGTTTTTTCTTGCACATTGCAAAGTTGTAGTAGGTAAGTCTAGAGAAACTTTGCCATTCTGCAATAGGTAATGCTAGCTGACATGGCAAAAGTAATACAAAACGCCATAAAAATAAAAAAAAATAAGCGTGAACAACACTTCTTTGTTGTGAAAAGTAGCCAGTAGCCGATTTTCAGACGTACTGAATATGCATATAAAATTTGGTAAAAATCAGTGAAGCCGTTTCGAAGGAGTAAAGTAACTGACATTGTATAATTTTATAGGTTTTATATTTATATATTATTTTATATATTAGTAAGTGACACAGCCAATTCCGTAAAGCCTCAAAATTAATTCACGTTTTCTGACTTTATAGACCTTCAACTTCCGTGAATCAAGACAAAAATACTCAAATGGGACCAGCCGTTCCAAAGTTTAAGCGAGACTCAACGAATAGCAATTCATATAGATAAGAAGATATAACATGAATGTTTGTCAATAAACGTCTGGCATTGTGTGAGACTTTAGGTAAAACTAAATACTAGACACTTACCGCTACCGGCGTAAATCTCTTAATACGTAAATATGTGCATGCATTCATAGCACATTCGCGTGCGATGAAGAATGTTTCGGGCTCCGACTCGCTCACTCGCTGTTTTTATTTATGAAAATTAATTAAACGAAAATACCGGCAAAATTTGCTATGTACTTAATTAAGTATTCATTTATTTATGCTCTTGTTATTCATAAATTCAGTGAGAATGATTGGATGTAAAGATACCTTCGTTTTCTTGATAAAAACTTCTTGCTAGCTCGTTAGCAAAGAGGATAACGCTCACTTTTTACCAATATTATTGAAGTGCCCATACCCTGAAGGTCACGAGGGGTGATAAGCCGTTGATGATTTTCCCCATATCCAGGCTCGAAGTTATCTTTATTAGGTGAAAAAAAAAGTTTAGCTATAGGTACTTTTCTAGGAATCGTACCCACGAGTACGCTCGCGTTTAATTTAGGTTATACCTATAGTTTTATATTCGTGAATTTAAAAAATCTAACCGATTTTTACTCCTAGATCCAGAAACTTCATCCCTCATTTCCAATGGCGTAAATCAGCTCGTCCTTGTGGGATTGGAGTAAGTCCATGGAGCAATCATCTCTACGTGTGTGGCATGGACAGCCATAGTGTCCTGGTAATGGAACGGTCACAAGCCAAGATCATCACCAGGTTGTCTTCAGAAGAAATGTTATGCCCTGTACAGATAGCGTTCATGAAGAGTCTGGGAGAGATCTATGTGACAGGTAAGAGATTTAAGTATACATTTCACCTAAAAAGGGCTGTGGTAAATTTGTTCCTGTTTATGTGATCGGGCGGCAATTTTTTTTTATGGGAAATATTGTGAAAAGGCTTCTCTTGCGTTGAGTGGAGGTAAGGCAAGAGGCAAAGTCAGATTTATACTGACTAAAAACCGCACCGTTTCATTTCTTGCCATGGGTCGCGGTACATTAAGTATTGTGGTTATACCCGCAACCCTGGTTGAATATCAGCCCTATTGGGCCCTGTGTCCCTGTATCTGTGTGACCACCGAGTCGGTTTTAATGAGCTGAGAGGTATTGGATATACTTCCTAGTCTAATGAAGTCGGTTAAAAAAGAAGATTAGGTACCTTGTAATATTTTTTACTTGAAAGTGGTGTATGACCCTCATACACCATTTTCAAGGTTCTTGAATATTTCATAGAATGATATAACTTGATTTTCATTATAGTCGGTAGGTACCTACTTTTCGTAAATTTAATCAATAATTATACTCATCGATAAACAAAATATAGGTACTTTTGTTGATCAAGTAACCGCACGTATGCGGTACCTATATCGATTAAGGTAGATAGACATACCTAATACCTAACTGCGTCAACTAGGTGGGTACTTACCGAACTAATCGTAGAACTTCGGATACCTGATTTCGGCTTCATATTTCTTTTTCCTTAACAATTTGGTATTTAGCAACTTGTCAAGTTCGTTTTTTGCGTCAAAAAACCTAAGTTAGGCAATGCGTAATAGAAAAGTGTTTGATCCGCCCTAGGTAGAACAAGTGGCAGTTCCTTCTCCAGCTAAAACTGGAGCCGCAGTACATGATTGCGCTTCCACCCACAATCCGGATTGAACATAAAATACCTGTATTTTAAAATCAATGAAAATACGCGTGATTAATCTCTAATAGATATTTTATGTTTCTGAAAAGTAAAAATATTTATTTTTACCTGATTAGTAGGTATACCCACAAGGCAAACGTTTAAGTATGTAATAGTACTAGTAGTAGTACCTAGTAGGGTAGATAGAACTCCTAGTTACCCACCTAACGTAAGTAAAAACATCCGCAACTCGCCTTTGACCCAACCACGTAATGACAGGAACGTGATTATGATTTCATACGCCCGATATGACTACTAAGTAGTAGCTAAGAACATAAAGAAGCTTTGCAGATACCTACTAGATAGTTTAAAGTCTAGTAAGCACGTAGGTAGTACCTACCTACATATTTCACAAACGTAGCCAAGCGTCACTTTGCCCTAGAATCATTTAAGTATGGGAGAGCCAAGCTTAGGCACGAATGAAAAAAGATTCCTGCAATAAGACTTCATATCGAATTGTCGTATAGCTAGTAATACCTACTGTCAGCAAATTGACTATTTGCAGTTTGCGCAGTAACTTCTGTAGGTACCGAACAAAATAATGTCGTAACTTTATTACCTACTCTTCGAAGCTGTTTTCAAAAGGCATAGTGCATAGGCACTATTATCATAGGCACTATAATATATATAAACACATACATATCTACATAGTGCCGAGTGCCAGTTATTTTAGTAAAGTGACCGAATCGTAACCGCGTTTAGCCCCCTGTTGGTTAGTTAATTTGGAGTAGGCCAATCAGAGCGCCGACCGTCATGTCATCAACGTGTATCTAGTTAACGTAAAACAAACTCGCACTAGGCAAACGGTTCACAACACACTCACGACATAGAAAAAAAATAGCTTTGGGAAGTAAAGAAAAGAAAAACAGAGTGATAATACCTATAAGGGTTACCTCCACGATGTCTGAATAGCTACAACAATCTAGCAAATAAAAATATAGACAGTAATTTGTATGAACTATCTGCCGCATACATTATCTTGTATTTATACCTCAAAAAACTATACATAGAAGATCCTTTTTACTAAGAAGAAGTACTAAAAGTCCTGTAAAATCGTACCTAAGTACTTATTTAAAGCGTATCTATTATGAAGCGTCAGAAAAGACCTTGAAATAAAAATCCTTATCTGTTCTTTCAGACAAATGGAAGCACTGCGTCCACGTTTTCTCCAAAGATGGTGAATACCTTCGCAGTATTGGGCAGAAAGGCAGCAGATTGGGCATGTTCAGGTCGCCAGAGGGCATTGCTACAGACAATGCGAACCAACAAATCTATGTTGTTGACACCGGCAATGATAGAGTGCAGGTAATGAAAAACAAGATACTATGTATGTTACCTATTTATTTATTTATTTATTTAATAAATGGTGAATCAACTATTATAGTTCTTCTATTTTTAGCTTAAGGTAATAAATCAGCACGATTGGTCTGCTGCGGAATATACCTACCTATACTCGTTCAGAGACAGAATGATACTTTGTGGTGGTACTTAATGTTCAAATATTTTTTTACCTATGAGTTGACACTACCTAGATTTTAAGAAAACCTTTTTACTAACCCAGAGAGTCTTGATACTTTAAATAAAATTTATTTATTTATTTATTTAAATATCTACGCTTGTATTGGCGGTTAATGTGATAAGCGAAGAATATCTATTATTTGTACTAGATTGCAATTAGATATAAAACATTCTGCTGTTATTTATTTTCAAATTATAAGTAGGTATAAAGTAATAGTATACTTTTCAATAGACAAAGCACTTGTAAAACTCAACAACATCTGTTTTTAATCTTACCTATTACTTGATAGGACAACTGGTAGGTGTAGTATAATGCACACTACACCTACCACTTGTCCTCGTAACTTTAAAATATAGTTACCACACTTGAAATGTTTATACACAGGTAAAGGTATCATTTGTATTTAAATACCTATTTATATCAAACATGCTTATCAATCAATTTGCGAAAAACCCAAATGATTACAAATCACCAATTAAACAATGATTTTATTTTTATCAAAAAAATATACTTACCTTTACCGTTTCAATAACTATGTTTACTTACTACGTTGACCGAGCAAACTTCGTATTGCTTAAAGTCAATGAATACTTTTTTCTCACATTTTAATTCAGATGATTCACGGATTACCTTATGATAAGCAATCACGCCGCCCATGGACATCCGCAGCGGAGGGGTTACGAATGCGTTGCCGACCTTTTAGGGATTAGGGGTTTGGAGATTTAGGGAAAGGGGAGGGGAAGGATTGAGCCTCCGGTAACCTCACTCATACGGCGAAACGCAACGCTGTATTTGTTTCACGCCGGTTTTCTGTGAGGCCGTGGTATCACTCCGGTCCATTCGTGCTAAAGCATGGCTCTCCCACACTTTTTATGTATAAGAAGAAGAAGATAACTATTTGGTAATAGCAAAACGAACTCTAGATAAAATTGTAACATACACTATTTTTTTTTAAATCATTCCAGATTCTCCAACCTGATGGTAAATTCATCGACCAAATCGGCGTAGCGACTAAACAGCAAGTTCACTACTCATCATCAGTTTGGGAGAGCAAGGAACTAACGTGCACAGAACTAAACTCACCAACCAGCGTCGCAGTTACCAACGACCGCGTCATAATACTTGATAGTGGAAATGGAAGGATCAAGATCTATAACAAACAGGATAAGGGCAAAATCATAGAATTTGGATCCATGGGACAAAGGAAAGGTCAATTCAGACATCCTGAAGTCCTAACTGTAGATCCCATGGGCTATATCCTGGTTGGGGACTCTGGCAACTGCAGGGTACAGGTTTTTAAACCCACGGGACAGGTCATAAGGGTTTTCGGAGGTCTAGGCACCCAAGCCGGCAAGTTCGGCTGGATCTCAGGCATCCACGTCACCAAACAATTAGACATTATCATAAGCGACACTAAAAACCACACAGTGAACTTTTTTTAACAGATGTATTAAAATTATAACAATTTATTTCAATATCGAACATCCTGTATGTCAAAATGTAAACAAAATTAAAATATGATCGAGATAATTATTATTAGACATAGCACTGAGATAAGTTTACAAATAAAATTATTTTTAGTATATAATCTGTTGTTTTACTTTTTCATCTTTTTTTTAAGTTCCATGTTATTTTAATAAAAAAATAATACATTAAGTATACAAAATTAAATTAGAGATTCTTATGACACGACTAATAATTTGACGAAAATATAAATTTTCTACCTAACTTATAATAAACCACAATAAATAAGGTGGCGAGGATATTTCCAATTCTAACCAATGAATAACAGTAAAATTTTTTTTCTAGTTTATACTCCAACTAGTACGAGATTAACTGATAAGTCAACTACTTTATAATATGTTACTAAGGTGTTATTATTTCATTTAAAATGTATAGAATAATTTATAAATACAGCGTTGATTTAAAAATGCATCATATCATTACGAAAATAAGTTTCAAATTGAAATGCATTTTGAAACCAACCTGTATAAGTATTACAGTTGTACAAAGCCAGAAACATACTAAAAACGCTACGCATGTGATTGGTCAGATTATAAAATCGTCGTAACGTGATTGGTTAAGTTATTTTATTGATTGACCAATCAATAAGCGCTTTTAAAGTATGTTCCTAGTTTAACTGGACGTCAAATCTACAATTCCATTATACACAGTTATACAAGAAATGACAGTTGATGAATTCAAATAAATATTACTACAACATTCCAAATTTAAAATTTAACGAACATTTTGACTTTCTTTTAGAAAGCAACTGATTTTTATGCCATTTCTATTGGTCATTGGACATTTTAATTAATTATAACAATTTATAGAGAATATGGTCTGTTTTAACATGCAATACTTAGGTTATGGCTCAAATCAGTCTCGAGCAGGTGGTTTAATTATTACAATAATTATCTACAATTAATTATTTACAACTTCGAAACTGATAATTAATAAATTTCATAGCACTAAAAGGAAACCAATGATATCAACCTATCTTTAATTTTTATCCTTAAATACAACTTAAAGCCACATTTAGATTATCTAAAACCGAATAATTACAATTTACATAAAATCGTTATATAGTCAGTGTTTGGTTAAATGAGAGACGGCATCAAAACAAGTGTACCGTCAGAAGCAAAAAATAAAATAAAATTAAAAGGACTAAATACAAAATAAAAAAAAAACATCCAAAAATAGAGAATTAAGAATAAAAACACGCTGTAGGTATTTATAACCAAAAAAATAATTAAAAATACTTCTTCAATACACTTATCTCTGGTTTACTCAAACACTATGTATTAGAATATTATTTTTAAGACAATACGAAATAATTTCGTAACTAACTAATCTCTTTAGGCAACTTAAAACAAAGAAGATCTTTCAATAACATGCTTGGCTAATGAGATATACGATACGATGAGATTTGAGAGTTACGTCACAGTTATAAGAGCTAAATTACATTGAAATTATTTCTAGGCCATTTAGTATTGAGGTGAATGAGTTATCTATTCTACATATCGATATACATATAACAGCAAAATATAATGAGATATGTTGTAAAATGAGCACATTTACTGTGATTAGTAGATATAATAATATGACTTTGAGTCCCCAGAAGAGATGTCTATGGTGCAGTTGTTATTTTTTTTCAAGAATAGTAGTGGGCAAATAAGCCCACGTATCGCCTTTTGGCAAGATATCAGACAATTGTATTGACGGCCTTTTAGGGAATCCGTTCTTTGTTTGAAGGTTTGAGAATAATTTGATGGCTCCACCCCGGAGTAGGATTTAAGGGGCAGTTTTTGGTCAGTAAAAGTCTGATACTTTCTCTCCCGCTCTGATTAGGGAATTAAGAGAGAAAGTAAATACTTAAAGTCTTAAGACATGCCTACTCAAAGGGTCAAGTACAATTGGTTTTGCGGATGGTTTTCTATGAAAGACCATCCGTCCCATGAAACAAGGGGACGATCCTGCCGTCTCACAAGGATGTATTTTAAGACTGCGTGCTGTTACATAACTGAGAATTTTGATACGAAAATTTCAATTATACCTTGAAATCGAGATCCACAGGTCGGTGTGGATTTGCCACCACTCGATGATGGTCGAGGGATTAAAATCTAACAATATACGGTATGGGTAAGCCCCTAACGAGTTAAGGTCAAAACAGCTTAAAACACATTACAATGACATTGAATATTGCATTTTATTTTAACTAAGTAAAGTACTAAATTGTACGTTAAATATTTTGATGGAGGAATTCGAAAATTAATCATGTAATATTTTTTTTATCAATTAAAAAATATTTTGCAGTTTTACAAAATGGGATTATTGGCTCGTCATTCGTCATACTATTTTGGTCTTGTCCGATATTTGACATTGTAAATCTATGCTAATTTACATACGAATATAGTTCATTATTCAATGTCTTTAGTAAATCCACTGCTGTATATTATGTCTTAATGAATTTGACATTATATATACAGGTTGCATAAGATTGATTGTTGTGTAGCAAATTTTGAGGGGACGAAACCTATAGCTTACAATATTAAGGGCTTGTATAACATTAAAATAATTAAACAGATTTTTATATCACTGGTAAAATTACCACGAATAAGGAAAAAAAACAAAAACATAAAATTCTATGTTTGTGACGAGAAGCACGGCGACTTGCATGGCAATATGTAGTAAAATCGATGTAATTACGCAAAAATATTCTACTCTGACGAGTGATTCGAATGATAATCACATTTTCGAAGACCTTACTGGACAAATTAGGGTTTTTTATATTGGGTTACCTTTTATAAACTTGTGGTTCGTACTGAATGAAACCTACACCAAAGGCTGTCTCTAAGAGATCTTAATAAAAACGAAGTCAATAGCACATTCAACTAAAACATAATTTTTCCGAATTTTTTTAGTGTACAATAAAGTACTCAAATGACAGTCAATAAGGAACATTTTCGCATAACTACGTTCTAACCTAACCACGTCACGCACCATGCAAGGGCCACAATAAACATTTGGTCTAGGTTACCTACTCAAATCTATTGACCTAGGATGACCGGCACGGTTGACATCTCGTTACTGAGTGACTTTCTCCAAGTACCACTGCATCAGAGTCTGCGGGCGGACCCTCACTGTTGTCGTGCTGCCTCTGAAATAAGAAAATAAAACAAGCTTAGAAATGGGAATAAGAAATGGGAATAAGAAATGGGTTAAGGAGGTACATATATGAAGACCAACAATTGGATAGTTTCCTAGGTCAAAAATAAATTAATTCGACTTTGCAATACAATAAAATATTAAAAAATAACTATACTTTTATTCATCGATCGATCGATTCACTAGGCTTTAGATATTTAGTAGCTAATTATTAAGAAATAAGTAAGTTATTTGACGCAAAAATACTATGACGTCATACCTCAGTTTTTCATACAAATTTCATAGTAAAGTATCGTTTTTGACATTTGGATAAAAGTATAAAAGTATTGAATTTGACTAATTGGAAACTACCGTATTGTTTGTATTATTCTATTGAATATCCGGAGTGCGCTCCTGTGGGTGCACTGCCTACCCTTACCCTTTGTTGTCCTCTTATTATATGACTAAATGTAAAGTTATCAGAATACATCCTTTCCTAATGAATTCTCTAATTCCCTTTGCACTTGTATATATTATGTACATATAATTATAAGGATTTAAAACATTAAAGATTCCATACAATATCTATCCATACTTTTTTTCTGTGAGGGAAAAATCATCAGATGACTTCTCCCGCTCAGGATTGGCCGGGCGAGATTGTCAGACTCATACTAGCTACAACCCCCTCGTTCCTTCTCCTGCTCTTGGCCGAGGCTGTGGTGCCTCATTGCGCTTGCGCCGGCAGGCCCGGCTGAACGTTAAAAGATTAAACGTTGCAAGATTCCATCCTTAATACGTTTGCAAGTTGGTAAGATATTCATATTTATATATAGATGGCGTCTACCTATATAACAATCACAATAAGTAGGTACCTATCTAATAAATAACTTTTTAGTTTTAATGCAGCACGCGTAATCTGCCTCGCCCACCTGGTGGATTATCGTGTATAAAAACTTTAGGCTATATTTACTTGACTGATTTGAAATAATCGTTATTTATAATTACGTGTGTCATTCAACCTTGTGTGAAGGATAAGGATGATACGAGACTGACACGTAATTATTAAGTGTTTTTTTTTGTGAGGGGAAAATCATCAAATTACTTCTCCCGCCCAGGGCCGGGCGGGAGTGTCAGACTCTTACTGACTAAAAACCCCCCTGTTCCTTCTCCTGCTATGGGCCGAGGTCGCGATGCCTCATTGCGCTTACCCCGCAACCCCGGCTGAACATCAGCCCTTTAGGGCCCCGTCTGTGGTGGTCTATTGGCTCTTTGAGGCGCGCGCGAAACGTTACGCGCCGTACGCTCGGGCCTGGTTCTGGTCGGGCGGCGAGCTGCCCTTACTTGCCGACCGCAGGCCCGAATTATTAAGTGTGAGGGTCATAATCGTACGTAGACTGTTTTAATCACCGCAGCAGGGATAAAGGGTTCCTTACTTCGTCTACTCAAATATAAATACATTGGACTTTACAGTGCAGTAAAACATAAATATTAATCACACTTTCATTCTTGGTTTTTACGATACACTAAGCAATTTGTAATACTTATGTAAACTAATTTATATTAGACCTTATTGTCAAGTACCGAATTAGACAATTTATTTAATATCTACATATTTGCACCTGCTTTTCAACAGTTATGTGACGAGTGTTGGATAGAGGGCATGTCTATTGTCACCGAACATAATCCTAGCCTCTAACATTATCTGTTCAGCCGGGGTTGCGGGGTAAGCGCAATGAGGCACCGTGGCCTCGGCCAAGAGCAAGTGAAGGAACGGGGGTGTTTTTTGTCAGTAAGAGTCTGACACTACATCTCGCCCCACCTTGGGCGGGAGAAGTCATTTTATGATTATCCCCTCGCAAAAGAAGCCTGTAATATTATCTACATACTAAATTATTTTTGAAAAATTAACAATGTCTGACCGGCGTTCGTTATTTTATAAGTATAAGTTGTTACATGAGATTAATAGGTACTATTACCTATTCTTGTGTGTGTCATTCAACCTTGTGAGTACGATGCCACGATCGTGCGACAACTCATTTAATACTGTAGGGAGTATATAATGGAAGTGACAAATTACTGCTATTTAATAAATTAATTAACTTACTACAATACACGCCTCGCTTGAGTGTAGAGAGACAATGCGAGCAAGGACGTAAGTTCGATGCACGAGTATTTAATACGAATTATTGTTAAAATATATATTTTTGATAATAACACATTTCGATATGAAAATAGGGTTGCCAACTTTGGTTACAAGACTTTTTATAATAATACCTTTTTTTTTTTTTTGTCAGGGGAAAATCATCCAATGACTTCTCCCGCCCAGGGTAAGGCGAGAGAGAGTGTCAGACTCTTACTGACTAAAAACCCCCCCGTTCCTTCTCCTGCTCTGGGCCGAGGTCGCGGTGCCTCATTGCGCTTACCCCGCAGCCCCGGCTAAACATCAGCCCTTTAGGGCCCCGACTGTGGTGGTCTATTGGCTCTTTGAGGCGCGCGCGGAACGCTACGCGCCGTACGCTCGGGTCCAGTTCTGGTCGGGCGGCGAGCTACCCTTACTCGCCGTCCGCAGACCCGCGCTTACGGTGGCCGGAGATCATCCCTCGATCCCCGACGTCCGGAATGTCGCCTTCTGCGGCGGCTGGGGCGCGAGGAGGATAATTCCCTCACGCGCTCCGCCTCCTCCTTTGCGAGCATTACTGCTTCGCAGAAGGAGGAGATAGCTTCCCAGTTCCTCTCACGCTGCACCATGGCCTCGATTAAGGCCGGGCGCGAGAGGTCGCTGCCGCCGATCACTTCCCTGAGAACACGGCGGTGCTCAGCCCAAGCAGGGCACTCCGCCACCGTATGCTCCACCGTGTCCTCCAGGTGATCCTCACTATGACGACACTCGGGCGTTTCCTCCCGCTGGATCCGAAACAGGAACCTACCAAAGCTGCCGTGCCCGGTAAGCACCTGCGTCAGGCGGAAGGTGAGGACGCCGTGGCGTCTCTCAAGCCACTCCTCAAAGAGGGGTCTTACCGCTGCTATAGTAGCGTGCCCGGCCCTCGGTTGCGACAGTCGCTGCTTCCACTCAGCCATGAGATCTCGCCGGAGCTCATTCCGCCACGCACTAATTTGGCGCGGCAGAGGATCCTCGCCCCGGCGACGCGCGTCTGCGCGCAAACTGTAGACGCGCGCGAGCGCCTTCGCTTCCAGATCCCATGGCGGTGATCCGGCAAGGAGGTTCGCCGCCTCCCCGGAGATTGTGCGATATCCGCGGATTATTCGGATAGCCATGACCCTCTGGGACGCGGCCAACGTACGAGCCGGCCGCCGCTTCAAATCCGGCGCCCACACAGGGGCACCGTAGAGGGCCATGGATCGCACAATCCCCTTTATAATAATACCTGAGTTCCGTAAAAGCAACTAAATAGTAACAATGAAACAATGAATTTATTTTTGCAAATATGCCACAAAACGGCACTTTTACACGTCAAATTAATATACGTGAAAAACTAGATGAAGGCGGCATTTCCTATCTGACTACTCTGAGAAGAAATGCCGAAACAAACTCAGAGGTAAGAGAGAGCATTAAGAACTTTTGTAATTTTAGGAGCTCACAACAGATTTTCATAGTTTTTTAATAATTTAATGACTCTTCGCTCACGTATAAATAAAATAAAAAAGGATTTTAGCGTCCGCTTCGAACATTATTGAGTACAAATAATACGAATCTCAACCATAATTGTTAGCGAAAAATGGATCCCTTTTAGATTTTATATTTTTTAACAGAGATTAAGGCCTGCCTGATAAGAAACTGACAACTTAGCCTAAGCAAGCACGCAACGCCAGAGATATCATTAATGTGTTACGAACTATGTATAAAAACAATTGAGTCACCGCGACTAATTTTAGGGTGACCTCCGCTTTACATATTCGGAAAAAGATTCATAATACTACATTACGCAAAAAAGATTGCTGGGTAATTTCAAACTGCATTATAATTAAATACTTAACTACTATGCAGGTTGTAAGTCAAGCATGACACATAACAATAGCAGTTACAGTAACAAAAACTTGAATTTACATTGAGACATGAAGGTATTTCCTAAGTACTGCTGCGCTAACCATCCATGACTGAAATAACTGACTAAAGACTTATACTATTAGACCATCACAGATGTGACCTAAAAAGGCTGATTCAGCCAGGGTTGCGAGTGGAAGTGGGCGTAATAGAACGCTCAGAGCAGAAGCAGGAATGGGTGGTTTTTAGTCAGTGAGAGTCTGACGCTCCCTCTAGTCTCATTCAGGGTGTAAGAAGAACAAAGCAGGAGAAGGAATCAGGGCAGGAGAAAGAATCAGGGCAGGAGAAGGAATCAGGGCAGGAGAAGGAATCAGGGCAGGAGAAGGAATCAGGGCAGGAGAAGGAATCAGGGCAGGAGAAGGAATCAGGGCAGGAGAAGGAACGGGGGGATTTTTGGTCAGTAAGAGTCTGACACACTCTCTCTCTCTCTTTACCCTTGGCGGGAGAAGTCATTTGATGATTTTCCCCTGACAAAAAAAAAGGGTGTAAGATGAAATATTATGATGATTTACCCCCACCATTAAATATATACCTGTGGTCCTCCGTCCTGGCCTACTTATACTATGAACACATAATATTATGCTTGTTACTGATAAGGAAATGATTTCTGAATATATCTGTATAAAAGTTGGCTTAGGGATGATAATGTGATTAATTGTATTGCAAAAATGTGCAGTTTCTATGTTATATGCATTGATTGCTAAAACCAATTCTCATAAGGTAACACTCCCTATTTAAAAATCTGAGTAACATGGATATTTTTTATTATCAGTCAGATTATATTAAATTAAAATTCATTGTACCTTTAATTCTGTGGCCAAACTGCGGAATGTGTCTTCAACATTAGTGTTGTCCTTTGCAGATGTCTCCATCACGAACATAATTTCTGGTACGTAACGGCAAAATGACTGAGGCTCATCCGGCTCTACTTCTCGCTGATCAGTCAAGTCACACTTGTTACCGATCAGTGAAACTATCACATTGGACGATGTGTACCTTCTGACTTCTTCAATCCATTTTTGTAAGGACAAAAATGTTGATCTTTTTGTGATGTCATATACTGAAACATGTAAATAGAAATTAATTAAAATGTAAATTTAGTGAAAGGATATGATTGGTAATGTAAATGTTTTTTACATCTCTGATTAAGCACCTATTAATTGACAAGGAACTACCAACTATAAAGAAGTTAATCACTGGTTGAAACATTTAAAACTACAATGTGTGTGCGTGTGTGTGTTTTATGAGCATATCTATAAAAGAGGTGATGAAAACAAAATTACTCATTTGTTTAATGACTCAGAAAAAAGGTTTTAAGCTGTTGATTAGATACAAATAAACTGTTTACAATTGCATTATGCAACAGTAAGTTATAAAACAACTATTGTGAATGCTAGTATTTATTGTTTCAGTAATTATAAAAAAATGTAGATTGATTGTTGTTGTATGTTGGTGTTAAATATGTAATGAAAGACATATTTATTCTATATGAAACAATTCCCCAGATTTAGAAGCAATTAGCTTTAATTTTTTTAATATACCAAGGCCACTGTGGAGGTCAAAGCTTCATTATGTATATAAATTAATAAAATTTTATCACTTTAAATACTAAACAGTAAAAATTTACAAATGAGATAGAGATGATTAATACAGAGTAGTAAAAATATTGATTATTTTATAACTGCGTACGAAATTAACCTAGTGTGTATTCTTTATAATTATCTATGCAGATGCGCCCATGTAACTAACGTGACTCATAGTTTGTATTGCCTAGTCAGTGTTTTTAACCAGGAAATATGATATCGTGTGGGCGGACGTCGCATACCTACCAATTATTACACCGTTCGCAGAGCGGTAGTAACTCTGTGTGATAGTTCTGAACCGCTCCTGCCCCGCAGTGTCCCATATCTGAAGCTAAAAAACAATACGTTTAATCTCTTATGCACTATTTTACGACGCACTCATGTTATTAGATTATATATATAGACTAACCTTGACTTTCTTCCCATCCACTATCAATGTTTTCATTGAAAAGTCTACGCCTATTGTATTTCCGTGCCTTTCTATGAAGTTACCAGATTTCAACCGTTGCACAATGCATGTTTTTCCGGTTCCGCAGTCACCAATGAGTACTATTTTGAACAAATAGTCAAATTGCTCGTCCGGCACACTCATTAAAGTATTAGGATTGCGGCTGCTCATGATTTAAATTAAATTAAATGCTCAATAAAGCTTTGTGTTTACCTTGTTTACTTGACTTTTAAATTGACAGCCATTTTCTATTTTGACATTTTCTTTTTTAATTTATGTGGCGACGACTATGGTATCTAGCTTTTTAAGAACATATAAGAAATTCAATAGTCTATGGCGTAAGTGATGGTGGTGAGTCTGTGCTCGCTGGTCTATTCTCTATTGAAACGTCAAGTCATAAACAAATGTCAACTTTGACAGTAGATAAATAAAAATACTTTTTACTCGTGTAAATCCAATAATCGTTCAAATACTTTAATTTATGAACTAAAATGGTTTTAATGAATAGAATGTATCATGTTCTATTTACTATAGCGACAGTTTTATCAGTTGCGTTCAGCATTGAGGTACAAAAACCCAGTCAATACTATTGGATTGTTTCAATTGTAATGAAATATCACGATTTTATCATTGTTATCATTATTACAGATACCTGAAGAATTCCAGAAGTCTAACCACTCGAACAATTGGGCTGTATTGGTAGACACATCTAGGTTTTGGTTTAATTACCGACATGTAGCGAATGTGTTATCTATTTACCGTAGCGTGAAGCGGCTGGGGATTCCGGACAGTCAGATAATTCTGATGATATCCGACGATATGGCTTGTAATCCTCGAAATCCCCGCCCTGCTACAATATTCAATAACGCTCATGAACAAATTAATGTGTATGGAGATGATGTTGAAGTTGATTACAGGGGTTATGAGGTTAGAACCAAGAAACCGTTTTATATTTATTGTGTTTAACTGGCTTATTTTTTATTCATAACAGCATTATATTATTTGCATTGATTAAATACGAAACCGTAAATTACTGCCCAATATCTAGTTGATTGCTTCTAATTTACTAAACTTATAAGAATCTTATAAAAAACATTGGCATTCACTTGGGATTTGATGAATTTATTATTTACTGTACATAATTATGAATATAAATACTAAATAATAATGTAATATTACAATGAATCTACAATTTGTTTTAAGAAACTAATATCTGTTTGTTTCACAGGTGTCAGTGGAGAATTTTGTCCGTCTACTTACCGGTAGAGTGCCACCTGACACTCCACGCTCCAAAAGGCTACTTACAGATGAAGGAAGCAATATATTGATCTACCTCACTGGACATGGAGGGGATGGCTTCCTGAAGTTTCAAGATTCAGAGGAAATCACTAGCCAAGAGTTAGCTGATGCTTTAGAACAAATGTGGGAGAAGAGAAGGTAATCATTTAATTGATTGAAATTGCCAACCCGCATTGAGCAAGTGTGGTGATTAATGCTCCAATCTTCTCCGTGTGAGAAGAGGCCTTTGCTCAGCAGTGAGCACTTATAGGCTGATGGTGATGATATTGAAACAATGAATTTATTTTTGCAAATAGGCAATAAAATGGCACTTTTATACGTCAAATTATATGTAAAAAACTAGATGCAGCTATATGTAAAAAACTAGAATTGTACATAAGTATTGATCTCTGGTCAGACTCTATATTCATCTGAGTCACAATACAACCTTTCAATTGTGGTCAAGACTCAATAGAAGAACAATTGGTGTGCAAATACTGGCATTCACTTAATAAGATGTATTTTTGGTATACATATAGTCAATTTATTGAATTTTCAGGTACAATGAAATATTTTTCATCATTGACACTTGCCAAGCCTCATCTATGTATGAGAAATTTTACTCTCCAAACATACTGGCTACTGCTTCAAGTTTAGTGGGCGAAGATTCCCTTTCTGTGAGTATTTTGTGCCCCACTACCATAAAACAAAAATGTACTATCCATAGATAAACTAAAATCTCTTTATTTCTATTTTAGCACCATGTGGATTCGGCTATTGGAGTATACATCATAGATAGGTACACTTATTACGTGTTACAGTTTTTGGAAAATGTCCATCCTAATAGCAAAAGGACTATGTCCGAATTCGTAAGTATTCTACACATGTTTTTTTAATTGACAGTTTGAAATCTAAGCTAGAAACAATTGAAATAAACATGAGAGTTTTTTTACTCAAATTCGATTGTAATAATTTCTTCTTAATTACAGTTGGCTGTATGCCCAAAAAGCGCATGTCTGTCGACTGTCGGAGTAAGGCGTGACTTGTTCAAACGTGACCCTGATAAGGTGCCTATCACTGACTTCTTTGGATCTGTTCGACCTGTGATCATCACTACAGATCCCATTGATATATTGGATACTCCTAAAAGAAAGAAAAAGCCTGAGTAAGTTGAAAAAATATATTATTTACTTTTCTAAAAAGACTCAGACTAGAAATGGTCATTCAGCATTAGAAAATTCTCTTTTTAACTTGTAATAAATATGTGTGCGTTAGCTTTGAAGGTGTTATTTTATTAATTCGATTATCCAATTTTATTTTGTATTTATTAAACTTAATACAAAATTTCTTATGAAATATTTTACCAGCCTTCTTCAGTTTTAATTTAAGGATTTAGATTATATTCTCCATATAATATTGTTTCAGGAACAAAACCAAATCGCCTGTGAAACGGGAATATCTACCACAATTTCCAATGCATCTAGTCCCAAATACGAAAACTGGCTAGTTAAGACAGTATTGTTATTATACAACTATTTAAAATTACACAAATTTAGTACACAACGGTTTTTCTTTTATCTAATTTTATTACTTAACCCACCATAGATCCCAAGAAAGCAACATTTTTGGCATTGGCAATGATGGTAATCAATTTTCTTAGGATGGGATTCCCTAGTGCTGCCATCTAGCTTTTTCTTTTTTTGTCAGGGGAAAATCATCCAATGACTTCTCCCGCCCAGGGTAAGGCGAGAGAGAGTGTCAGACTCTTACTGACTAAAAACCCCCCCGTTCCTTCTCCTGCTGTGGGCCGAGGTCGCGGTGCCTCATTGCGCTTACCCCGCAGCCCCGGCTAAACATCAGCCCTTTAGGGCCCCGACTGTGGTGGTCTATTGGCTCTTTGAGGCGCGCGCGGAACGCTACGCGCCGTACGCTCGGGTCCGGTTCTGGTCGGGCGGCGAGCTACCCTTACTCGCCGTCCGCAGACCCGCGCTTACGGTGGCCGGAGATCATCTCTCGATCCCCGACGTCCGGAATGTCGCCTTCTGCGGCGGCTGGGGCGCGAGGAGGATAGTTCCCTCACGCGCTCCGCCTCCTCCTTTGCGAGCATAACTGCTTCGCAGAAGGAGGAGATAGCTTCCCAGTTCCTCTCACGCTGCACCATGGCCTCGATTAAGGCCGGGCGCGAGAGGTCGCCGCCGCCGATCACTTCCCTGAGAACACGGCGGTGCTCAGCCCAAGCAGGGCACTCCGCCACCGTATGCTCCACCGTGTCCTCCAGGTGATCCGCACAATGACGACACTCGGGCGTTTCCTCCCGCTGGATCCGAAACAGGAACCTACCAAATCTGCCGTACCCGGTAAGCACCTGCGTCAGGCGGAAGGTGAGGACGCCGTGGCGTCTCTCAAGCCACTTCTCAAAGAGGGGTCTTACCGCTGCTATAGTAGCGTGCCCGGCCCTCGGTTGCGACAATCGCTGCTTCCACTCAGCCATGAGATCTCGCCGGAGCTCATTCCGCCACGCACTACTTAATTTGGCGCGGCAGAGGATCCTCGCCCCGGCGACGCGCGTCTGCGCGCAAACTGTAGACGCGCGCGAGCGCCTTCGCTTCCAGATCCCATGGCGGTGATCCGGCAAGGAGGTTCGCCGCCTCCCCGGAGATCGTGCGATATCCGCGGATTATTCGGATATCTAGCTTGTGACGTAAATTTTACATTGGAGACAGTAAAATTGTTGCATCTATGAATATTTCTGAATATTCAGATTTTTTCTGATATAGGTATAAGATATTGTTTATGTGTTTATAGTTTTAGGTTGTATAAACGGTTATATACATAATACATATTATTATATAGACTTTCATATATGTTACCTGTTTACTTACCTTTATATCAAGGGTTTTAACTACGTAATTGTGTTTTCGAGGGGAAAATTTGTAAGTAAAACAACAAAGAATATTAAATAGTCAATTTTTATTTTTGTCTAAGTACTAATAATAATTCTTTCAACATTATTATAAACACAACCGACTCAGTTACCGTTGGAATCTATAACGCATTACGTAATTAGCAACGATTGTGCATGCATTCGAGTCTCACATTCAGATATGAGATCAAAACTATAGGACTATAGCACCATTACAGTTACTTTCGTAGGCCATAACTTTTTGGTCTAATTTCATTCCGTATCAACTATTTGTATCACTAACTAAACCTCACTAGGAGCAAATTATTTAAGTTATAGGATTTCTAAGATTGTAGGTATCTAAGATAGATGGCGTAAGTGGCGCTAAATAAATCTTAAGCTGAATGTTAAGAGTAAGATAGTTGTCCCTTACTATGGATTTAAAGTAGTCTTGTCTCTGTCACATAAATTGTAATGAATAAGTGCAAGACAGAGATAGAAAATAGCTTAGACAAAAATATACTAAGTGATGTCTATCAAACTTGCCCTTATAGTTAAGCTACGACTAGTGAATTTAGTTCTTCTAACTACATGATATATCTAAATAACTTTATTATTATTTTTTGTCTTTTTTGTTTATTTGGAAAACAACAAGGATGAAGATAATAGGATAAAAATAACAGTGCCTAAACATTTTTGGGCAAGGAGCCTAGTGCCAATTTGTTCGTAGAAAAATCTATTTTTGTTCTTTACACCAACTTTTTTACTTTAAATATTGGCATTTTGGTAGACTCCTTGATCCACATTTAACATTTTCGTTAGTAATTTATGAATATAATTTTAAGGTAAAGGCAACTTCTCGATGTCACGATGTAGCAATCATGAACACGTCTACATAACCAGGTACGAACTATAATACTTAGTATATTTTAAGAACTTTAACTATTTGTTTTCATTAATCAAACCTTTATTTAGTTGCTATTAACTGATGGATTACGAACAGATAATTTTATTAATAACTTGGCTTTCATACAAAAATTAAATTATTTTTTAAGGTAGGTACTTAGAAACTAAATGAAGTACCTATGTATATAAATACGAATATTAAATTTTGTACTTGTTAACAGATTTAAATAAATCCTCTTTACTAGCCTACATTAAGGTTAAAGAAAATCTAAATAGTTTGTGAAAGAAAACATTGATTTACCATAGATACAGGTGGTCTTTATGTCTATGGTTACATTTTGAATTACTAGGAATGCTTTTTTAATGGGGCGCAAAGAACACATGCTTATTTCAAAAAAAGACAAAACTGGCGCGTTCTGTTTACACAATAATATAAGTATAGTCTGCTATTAAACTATTTATATTTATAACAGTTTCACTTATTGCTCAATCTTAACAACAAATAAATTAACTGCGCTTAATAAGATATGGCATAATTATTAAATTAAATATAAACTTAATTTCATGATTATTATTCAAATAAATATAGGTAAAAATAAGTGCAAATAAATATTGACAATGCTTTGTTCTTTTTCAAATGTAACAACAACAAAATTCTTTGAAAACTCTTTGATTCAAACTATCACATTATAAATATAATATCGTAGTTATAAAATGCAACGGTAACAATTATGTTTTTGATTTTATTATTTCAAAATGCCAATTGGCTCTTTGCCCTTTTGTGTAAAATAAAAGTTTCTAACAAACAAAAGGACTTGTTTTTTTAAACTTAAATGTTAAAAAACTAAAACTATAAAATCCTACTTAGTGACTTTGTTTCTCATATAGGTACAAATATTCCATAATTCTATAATGGAAGCACTAAGGAATTTTGTTTGCATTTTATTTTAAAACTAAAACAATATTTACATTTTTTGTCCTATACTTCAATAACAACTAAATTCAGCTATTACAACTACGTATAATTTTGATTAGCTCAACAGTTCGTAATTTCGTTATCTTAACTCTTATAATTAAAACTAACAAGGTGATTGATGAGGGGCCATAACTTAGACCAGTAAAAATTGATACTTTAAACTGTTCTTTATCGTCTCAATATATTATCTGAAACATTTATCTTATTTTCACAACGACTGACATAGATATATGGTGTTAGAAAATTGTAGGTATGTAGAGAAATTTGACAGTTAATAAAAAAGTAGGTATCCTTACTCTATGACTATTGTCTATAGTGCGGAAACGGAACTACGAGACGCCATATCACAAAATATATATTTGCAGCGATAACAAATTTGAAAATTGACGCAAGGGTCAAGTTTTCACTTGGCCGGCAGATCAATAAAATGTCCATCAATCATTAGAGTGTTACGATCAGTCTTTCCAGCCATTGATGAATAATTCATTCTTCATTCATCAGCCTTCGATGCGTTGCTGCGTTAATGATACATTATCTTGAAGCGTTCAAATTGAATGTTTGACGGTTCATCCATGGCTGCTTACTTTTTCTTTGTCAATTATGTCGTAATAGCTGTCTATGGAGTAGCCGAACAGTCTGAAGTCGTCCCTAGAAAAGAAATACAGCAAGTAAAAATTAGGTATATGTGTACAATCGGAAAAAAATTAGGAAAAATTCAGGTGAGATCAGCTTTAATTATCAAACTGTTATATTTTGCAATTCACAGCCAAAATATCTGTTTTATAGCTATTTTGTTCTTCTAAAGACTCGTATGGAGTACCTAATATGGTAATGAAGCTGCTTACTTGTATAAATCGTAGAGGCCGTCTAGCTGGCGTCTATTGAGCCGCGCGTATAGATTGCTGATGATATGCACAGTGGCTGTGGTGCCTTTCCCACTGTTCCGCCATTCAGGCTTCACGATATCTTGGAGATGAGCCAACTGGATCAGGAACTTTTGGTCCTCCTGCCAAGTGAAAAATTAAACCGTAAAATAAGAATACCTAGTGGTCATTTTTGTAGTTAGTACAATTTAGGTATAAGAAGAAGTGAACAATAATTTGTTAAAGTAAGTTATCAATGTCTTTAATTGATTTCGAACCTATGATGCCATTTAATTGGTACAAATTAATGCATGGTAGGTATCTAAAACGTAAGCGTAACAGATTTTACGATATGAGTCTTCCTCATCTGAACGACATGATAAAGTTGTAAACGATAGAAGCTAGTTAAATAAGGTTTAATTACATATACGATGGGACTGACATAGGTATACTATGTATAAAAAAGTCTATTATAGAGAAAAATGAAAAGATAAAGATATAAGAATAGAAGCATCTGGGGAACCAACGCAACACGGTACCACGGCCGCGGTCTAGAGCGGGAGATGTAACGGGGTAGTTTTAAGTCATTTAGAGGTTGACACTCTTTCTTACCCTACCTAGAGAGAAGTGATTAAATGAAACTTCTCACTCAAGAAATAAAATGAGACCAGAATTAAGTAAATAATAGATATTATTCATTGGCCCGTTACCAAACAAATGAAAAATTAACAGGAAAATTTGCGGAAGCGGTTTTATAGAATGACTCACTACGTCCATCAATTCTATCTGTTTTTGATATTGAAATAAAATTGGAAATGCTATGTCCACCGGAAGCCCAAGCCACATCGGGAAAAACGTGCGGTTTGGGTCCAATCCGTTCAAGCAAAAACATATTTATTATCACTGACCACCATCCAGTAAGCAGTTATCTATTTCACGCTCATTTAAAAACTCCGGATTGTCGACAGAGCAAGATTCCAAGAACATTCATCGTTCGATAAAAATGTTTTTCGCTTCAACAGCTTAGGAACGTTTTCCAAATTGATGTAGGTCACTTAAAATGCAGGCTTCTTGCCAAGATAATGAATATACTTCCAACTTTTATAGATTAGTGCCAAGTTCTAGCTTTAGGCACATATATCGTATAGGTAATGTAGGTGGGTTTGGTTGTGACTTGTGAGTCATTTGATTCTTCGCTTACGGGTTTCCTCGCTGTAGCGATTTATGCCATATGTAGCATAGGCCCTCTTTTTTAAATTCCGTTTTATAAGTAGGTACATACATATTATTACCTATGTCCATAGTAGTTCAATTTATATATTTGTTTCGTTCTTCTAGTGTCTCGGATGCAGTTACAAACTATGAAATCGTCATCCACCTATCGTCATTTATGCATGTCTAGTGTTTTAACCGATAGCTGTTTAACTAACAAACGTCATATTTTTGCATTTAGATTGCTTTTAGGCAGATTATTTACATTTATACTATCTACTTATTTATACCTACTAGTAATTAAAGCTAGAGTTTGCTTGAATGCGTTGAATCTTTTTATGCTAAATAGTCCATTTAGGAATGCTTTTAGGGGGCTAGTTGAAATCAATGATTTTGAATTTTATCGAGGTAGGCTATAAGTTACAAAACACTACGACCAATAGGTCTTAAATCTGCACAGAAATGATGACTAGTTAGTTCGATAATCATTTGGTTTCCATACTTACATCTAGCGTCTCAAACTTGAGAATGACATCGAAGTTAAACTTGCAAGGCGTGCAGAATGTGGTGTACGGCGTCCAGTGCATATCGAGAGATCTTTTAGCTTTCGCCTCGTCCAACACGTACGAGACAAACTCTTCGAAAACCGGATACTTCTCTGTCCGTGTCTTGTCGGCTGGCTACAATAGTAGTAATAGGATATTTTTAACATCACTTTATAGGCTAATATTTATTGTAGAAGATAAATATGGGACCTAAAAGAATAAGGATTAAACTGGGTTACCGTCGACCCGATCTGCCAAAAGGCTTAAATACGAGCTTGCAACTCTTCTGGAATTGCAAATGTCCATGGATAGCGCCGATTGCTTACCATGAGGTTATTTGATTGCTTGTTTTTCACCCTATAAGGTATATTAAAAGAAATCAGAAATAATGAGTTGTGCCATTTAGCATACTTATATAAAAAAAACTACGTTTAAAAAAACCGACTTCAAAAACAAAAAAGTGTCAAATAATTAAAATAGATATTTTAATAGCACTCTTACGTACGCGAAGCTAATACTTTTAATATTAATAATAAAACACTATCAACTCTATGTGCTACCTATTCATAGGTTTAAAGTCGGTGCCAAGCCTAATACATAATATTATAAGCATTTGATTGATGGCCTTAGCGTAGAATCAGAAGTCTATATTGTTTCGTTACATGCAAAATTATATATAGCTTAGAAAGATATTCGGGTGAAATATGAATTCTAAAAGTTTTCTCGTACTTAACGTAACTCGTGGGTTGTTAAAAGTAGTAGTAGGTAGGTCCGTTGCTGGTTGTGGAAATTTCGTCCTTTAGCAGTTAAACAGTCTTAATTCTCATTTAGTTTTATTCTGTTTAGGGCTTGGCACCGACTTCAAACCTATGAATAGGTAGCACATAGAATTGATAGTGTTTTATTATTAATATTAAAAGTATTAGCTTCGCGTACGTAAGAGTGCTATTAAAATATCTATTTTAATTATTTGACACTTTTTTGTTTTTGAAGTCGGTTTTTTTAAACGTAGTTTTTTTATTATTTTTTACTTTTTAGTGTCTGTTACAAGTTCTTCTGTAAACTACAGTAACATTTTAAATATAAATTAACATATTGAATAGTATATATATTTTTAAGTAGCTATGTGTAGGCCTGCGAAAGGAGCCGCTCTATTAAAAAATATGGATCCCAAGAAATGGGAAAGTTCTCATCATCATTATCATCATCATCATCATCATCAGCCTTTTTAATGTTCCCTTACTTTTACTGGGTCACAAGCCACCTCTCTAGGAGAGGGAAAGTTCTTATCAATATAAACAAATTAAGTCCAAACACGAGGTCGCTACTGTAAACCGTTGAGGAGTTCCCTAGACTGTCCTTCGTCTTGATCTCTAATGATAGTCACAATCCATCTAGATGTAAAGTTATTATCAAAACCAATTAATTAAGCTCAAACACAAGGAAGCTGCTATGAATCGTTGAGGAATTCCCTCGACTGTCAATGGTCTCCATCGTCAGGTACACTGCAGACCTTCAGTTGTTATAATCCATACAGGTACAAAGTTTTCATCAACATAAATGAATTAAGTTCAAACACGAAGTAGTTACTGTACACCGTTCAGGAGTTCCCTGAGCTGTCCTTAGTTCTCATCATCAGAAAATTAATGATAGTTACGACCAAGTCTGGTGCAAAGTGCTCGCCAATACGAATCATTCAAGCCCAAACACAAGGCAACTGCTCCAAATAGTCAAGGAGATCCCTCGACTGTCTTCCAGCTCCAACATCTGGTCGACTTCGACCTTCGTCAAGTTGTAGTGTTGTTAAAGGCCTACTTAAACATCATACAAAAAAACTACTTGCCCCTACAATTTTCTAAAGTTCCCCTCGGTTTCTCCAGGATTCCATCATCAGGTCCTGACCTCATGACAATGGGACCAAATGGCAAGTATACCCTATCGAATAAAAAAAAAATTTTGCAAATCGGTCCAGGCGTCTTCGAGTAATCGGTGTACATACATAAAAAAAAAAAAAAAAAAATACTCGTCGAATTGAGAACCTCCTCCTTTTTTTGAAGTCGGTTAAAAATGACCTCCGCTACATATGGGAGTAAAATGAAAATACGTCCAATAATATTAATAATACCTTTCTATATTTCTTAACGATCCTATGTCCGAGTTTGTCGTGGAAAGACTTCGGCCACGCGTGCACAATCTTATCATTGTACGCAGACGCCAATCTTTCCAAAGGATGCCGTACTATGAGGAATGTGATAGAATCTCCTTGGGCCTTTTTAATCATTTCTGCAGTGGGTCTCGCGTATTTTCTTCTTGCTAATTGCAACGGCACTTCTTTTGTTTTATCTAAAAACGCTGCCGAGTAGTTCGCCATTAAGTTGAAGTTGTACATCCAGGATGTAGAAGCCGCTTTGAATATGTTACACCTGAAATATATGATAAAATGTTGATGAGATCACCTTAGGTAGGTTAAGGGACGAGATGGGATAAAAACTTTTGTGTTTTATTTAAAGTAAATCAACGTAAAATAAGAAAAAAAATACTATAGATGTTATTTTTTATGGAAACTGCAATTCTAAACGTAAGAATTGATGAGTAAAATTTACCTATATTTTTTTTGCAAGGTGGACTGCCTATTTCTGTCGTATTAGTATAATTAAGTAGATCAAATCTCCTATCTGATCTGTGCACACGAACAGCACTAAGACAAAGGTAAAAGGTCAACATTTTTCCTTAAATTAAACAAAATAAACTCACCATATAACATGATATTGTCTATTTATAAGGTATTCCCAGGCGTTAGATTTATGACTGGAAGTATCGAGCCCAAGTCTGCTGCATTCAGTCTTCAGGAATTCCCTTCGAGATTCCATTCTGGCATTCACTTCCATAAACTTATCTCTAGTCAATAGACCATCTTCTCTTGATCCATTCTCGAAGATATACTGCAACAAAATATTTCAATTATTTTATAAGTAGGTACTAAAACAGCTGATGTTTAAGCTCAGTGGCGCTAGTGTGCTTTTAGGGCACATATCGTGTGGGCCAGCGAGCATTGATGGCGATTTCTGGAGTTATTTATGTCGGTACAGGATAAAACTATGCTTTGTGTAATGGACTGTGTTCATCAGGGCTAGACTAGTGTTGTGCCAGGTATTCATCATTAGTTCAAAAATTAAATTTCGTTTTACTCTACAATAATTTTTCAAATATTTTAAAACTCTTATTAATAGGGTTAATCTAAGATTTTAAACGTTTATCAGCAAAGGCATTAAAGTTAAGAATAGAATATACTGCACTGTGGGCAAACGTTCGTAACGTAAGATTTTAGTGAAAATTCGATTTTATAGTATCTATTTAAGTTATACAAAAACTTGACGTCTTTTAATGGAATTTTCTCATAAATATTCCTAAGTTTAATGATCCAGGATTTCTAAGTTTATTCCATGTCACATAGCGGTTTGAAGGTGAACAGAACCGGGCCAGGAGCACTAGGTAATCTAGAAAAACATGTTGCTGCCTATGTTGATAGAAGGTAACTGTATTTCTTCCATATTAGTTATTGATGTTTACTTTATTAGTCTGGCAGGTTTGCCTAGGTAATCAAGGCGGTAGGGAGAAAAATCTACCGTACCTACCTAACAATACGGTAGTTTATAACTAGTCAAATTCAATAGTTTTTATCTAACGTTAAAAATAAAAAATAATTAATAATAAAAAAAAAACAGTTCTATTCTATGAAATATACATGAATAGGTTTCAAATAGAACACTAATTTCTTAAAAAAAATACGAGAAAAAATCGAATATCAAGTAGGTATTTCGATAAATCACTGAATGAAAATAGATAGTTAGGTATTGTATTCCAATATAATTTTATTAAACTGAAACGTCTAAGTAATTTATTTTTGACAACAGAATCTATCCAATTTGAGAACTGCTTTATTTGGACATCGTGCGTAGTTAATTTTTTGACTTTTTTCATTATCATGCGTAGTACCTAAGTAAAAAAAGGAAATATTCGTAAGTTAAAACAAATATTTCTAACAAAACTATTTATTTCACGGTTTTCTATTCGTCAAGACGATATTTATTTATTTATATATTCTTTATTGTACACGTCATTAAAAAATTAAGCAAGCTTACAAACACAGAGTGTACAATGGCCGGTCTTACCACACAGGTGATTTCTTCCAGACCACCTTCGGATGGATGTTTAAAAGAAAACTAGGAATGGCCATGGGCTACGATAATTAGATAAAATTGTCTATTTTAGGCTTCACTGAGATGTTGCGATGTTGGCCGGAGTGTTAGATTCATTACACGGATTATTCGCAATAGACACGTTTCTTTAATAAAATTTGCGTATTTCATACAAACATTTTATAACCTTATTTTTTTGTATAGTAAACAAGATATCTACTTATATAGACATTATAACTTTAGTTGAAAATGTCAACTTCCTCGCGTAAATTAACCGAGGAAAGCTCGACTAGTTTCAAGTCACAACGGGACTCTTATTCATGAGTGAGACTAACCCGAATTTATGTCGCAATGAAAATACTTACGAGTAGTACAATGTAACTAATTATTTGAATTTTTATATATCACTCGTAACTCCTCCGTTGCGAGAGTCCATGGGCGGCGCTGATTGCTTACCATCAGGTAATCATTCTGCTCGTAGATCTAAAAAATCTTCTATAAATCCTGCTCTGAGTTTGCATCCGACTAACATAAAAGTATAACAAGTTTATCAATCTCCTGTATATTACGATCGTCAGAATATTAATTGCGAAGTTGTATGAAATGGCGGAGTAATAATATTCTTAATTGCTGAGTAAGTGCGGCGTGAACCTAGACATTCCGTGACGGATACCTACCCGACGCTTAATTAAAGAAATATCTCAGATTGAGTGCTTCCAAGCCTTTTATTTTATTAAGAACTTCTTGATGGCACTTTACGATCTTGAGGTACACAACGGAGTAAAAATAATAGGAGTATTGTATGTTGGTCTTACAATTGGAAGTATGATCATGATCATCATCATCATGATCAGCCTATAAGTGCCCACTGCTGAGCAAAGGGTCCTTCTCACACAGAGAAGGTTTGAGCATTAATCACCATGCTTGCCCAATGCGCGTTGGCGATTTCAAACTTATAATTAGAAATTATAAGTCCAGGTTTACTCATGATGTTTACCTTCACCGTATGTCAGTGGTGTAAAAATAACCATAGAAAGTACATATATCTAACATTGGTAGTTGCCAAGTTTCGAAGTCGCACCCTCATGCATGAGAACCGGGCTCCTTAACCTCGGGGCCACCACGACCTTGTGGAAGTATGATGCTTGACAGTAATACATGTTCATAAAGATCTACTTCTGTATCAATTGCACTTTGCTATTTATTAAGAAAAAAACTTTGAGGAGAGGCTAAAGAGACGCCAAGCGGTATGAGGTACCTTATTGCGCTTGCTCTTGGCCGCTGGCCTGGTGCAGAGGAGAAGGAACCGTAGAGGGCGGCGGGGGTCGGGCACGCTACTATAGCAGTGGTCAGACTCCTCTTTGAGGAGTGGCTTGAGAGAAGCCACGGCGGCCTCACCTTCCGCCTGACGCAAGTCCTTACCGGGCACGGCAGCTTCGGTAGGTTCCTGTTTCGGATCCAGCGGGAGGAAACGCCCGAGTGTCGTCATTGCGAGGACCAGCTTGAGGATAAGCTGGAGCATACGGTGGCGGTATGCCCGGCCTGGGCTGAGCACCGCCGTGTCCTCAGGCGACACTACGGGCGTCGGGGATCAAGGGACGATCTCCGGCCACCGTAAGCACGGGTCTGCGGTCGGCGAGTAAAGGCAGCTCGCCGCCTGACCAGAACCAGGCCCGAGCGTACGGCGCGTAGCGTTCCGTGCGCGCCTCAAAGAGCCAATAGACCACCACAGACGGGGTCCTAAAGGGCTGATGGTCAGCCGGGGTTGCGGGGTAAGCGCAATGAGGTAGCGCGACCTCGGCCCAGAGCAGGAGAAGGAACAGGGGGGGGTTTTAGTCAGTAAGGAGCCTGACATTCCCTCTCGCCTCATCCAGAATAAGAAAACTATTTTGTTGATTTACCCCTCACAAATATAAATGGGTATTTGGTGTTTATCTTTCATCCAAAATCCATGACCAATAAACATGACGTGACGTGCCTAATGAAAAACCCTGATATTATTTAGTCTTTCTGTTTTTATATAATTATATGTTTGCTTCTTATACAGTTGCACATCAGTGGTTTTTAATGCCAACATGATTTTTGCCAGTCATTCTTAACATAACATCTATATACATATATTAGTTCATCTTTAGGTCCTTCTTCATGTTCAAAATTAATTACCTACATTATAAAAAAACTTATATTGCATTTCAAATAGTATATGTATGAAGTTAATACAGAAAGAAGTTTACACACGACGTTTAATTGTCTATAAAGCTTAACGTTTTAATAGCACACTTGCAAAGGAAAATGGCGCTCGTAAAACAGTGAATAGACACACAGTTAACTATTGTGGGCATGTCCTTATATTCAGACATTTATCCTTCCTCCCTTTATATGTTTTATACCTTGCAAGCTTTTAGATAATAGCCCTTTGAGACAGTTTTATTGGTGCTGTGACAGATGGCGTTAGGGAGCTAAATCTTTTGGCCAGAGAGTTAAGCTTGATTTGTGTTTATGACTCTGTTCCCGTGTCAACGAAGGAGTTCGTTACAAGTAGGTACGTGTTATTGTGTGTTTTTATATTATATTATCGCAACGTTTTTATGCGATATGTTCATTAGCCTCAATTTGATTTAATTTTATCAGTCCGTAATAATTTAATTGGTCACTGTTTTTATTTTTTGGTATTTAATGGAACTAAATGAGTATCTATGTTTTAATGTCTTCTTTTTTTAAACTTTTTAAACTGCAGTAAGACACTGATGTCTAGAAGTACATAATTCGATTTCAATTGAGATAGATACTGTAGAGATTGGTAGCATTTATAGAGAAGCTGTGGAAAAAAATGTAATACTTAAATCAGGTAGGCATTCAAAACAACGATCAAGTTTATTAATATTAACCTGCCTTGCCAAGCTCCAAATGTAGATGAAAGAAATCGGTGAGCAATAGCACAGGAGAAAGAATAAATTAGTAGATTAGTGCATAAAACTACATTTCCAATTCCAAAATATAATCTTAGTGTCAAATTTCATACGGATCCGTGCATTAGTTTAAGCGTAAGAATAACAAACATCCATCCAATACAATATTAGTAGTATTTTCACAGTTACGGCTATTTGATTTGAAGATAATTTTCTTAACACTTTATACAGGTAGAAGAAACACCCGTTATATACTGCCGTATCTAATTATGTATTACGTTCAAATCTTTATAATTTGTGTGAAGTAATTGTTTTATAACGGGTAACTTGCAAGAAATGTTGTCGATTAAAAATCTTACTTTACTATGTTCGTTATTGTAAGGGCAAGGATTGTATGAAAAAAATTAAGAACTATTTTTTCGCGAAAATGTTTTCGTTTTTTTGTCATACCCTTGCCCCACCCTATGATTTTTTCCTGGGATGGTCTTAGGTGCGTTTACAAACATACAAATTCAACTCACATACTCAAACCACTTAGACCTGAAATAATAATTTGTGGATCCATCACACGTGTTGTTCCATGCGAGAATCAAACACGACGCCAACTGTACGGTTAGCCGGGGTTGGAGATCAAGCGGGATATGGTACTGCAACCCCGGCCTGGAGCCAGAGAAAACAGAGTGGTTTTAGTCAGTAACAGTTTGATGCTCCTTCTCGCTTCACCTTCGGCGAGGGAGGTCATTTGATGATTAGCCCTTACAAAAAACCCCTGCAGTCAAAAGTACTAAGTACAAAGCCGCCACAAAATGCTAGATAAATATAATTAATTGTTAA